TTGTTTACCGTTCTCTTATTTCCCACAGTTAACATTTTATGAAGGAAAATGTTCCTCTCTCCTTCTCAACTCCCTATCCTGAAGATTATTCTTCAAATGAGTGTGTGAGTCTCCCATCCACACCAGCCTTCACATTCATTGACATGTGGAATGGCAAACTTCTGGGGCATCGATTGCTCATCCTCTCTCTGAATACAGGATGCTCAATCTCTTTGTGCTTCTCCTTTTGAAGGTTGGTGAGGTATTAAGGAGACATTTAGCTGGTGCTTGCTCCACCCTTGCCCCACCCAAGATATGCAGATACTACTCTGGAAGTGAATCTGCTATGTTTTGGGAAGGCTTCCAATTTGGGTATCCTCTGTGGCAAACACAATTGCAGAAGAGCATTACTGGACAGACTTCTGGAATGACTGTGTGAGGAGCCCAACAAATTCTCCCCTCAAAAAAGCAGCAATAATACTGGTCAAAACTCTCAAAAATAACCATTTCATGAGTCTGTAAATAGACCAATGGCATAAAACAAATTGATAAGCATTTATTCAAGAAAAACTATTGAATATCAGTAAGTACAGTGGGAGTGTGTGGTGTTAGAGCCTGGAGCTGTTTTATGCCCCCAACCTCAGCTCCATGGCATGATAATTCTAACAGGGCAGTGCAGGCCATGAGAACTAGCAGCTCCACTGCTCAAGGGGCTCCATGGAGTACAGCATGGAAAAACCCAGGTCCAGAGGCACTATCCAAAACAATAGCAATAATTATCCAAAGCAAAAAACAGAGAAGACCAAAACCGCAGCTAGCTGTAGTTATTATACTGGTTGGGTCAGGCAGTATATCAGTAGAAAAGCCAGAAATTTAACAATGAGATCAAAGGAACACATGTTCCTGGAGGTCTGGGAGGTTGTACACATGCACAGGGCTGTGGTCATGCTCAGGGGAGACTGGAGAAGGTGCTAGTTAACTACTCATCCCTGGATGAATGCGAGACCTTGCAAGTTCAATAAAAGTAAAAACTGTGACAGACTTGTAATCTTTCAATGCCATTTCCAAAATCACACACAGATCCACTGACAAAAGGGGGAAGCTCAAGGTCCTTAAACACAACCTCTGGCCAATTTGTCCCTGACCACTAAGTTATGCTGACCTAGGGGTGACCCCAGGAGCCAGGCTTAAAAATAAAAACAAGAATTTATTTTTTAAAATATGAGCAGAAACATCAGCAGTTGCACACTGTGGGGGAGACAGACACTACAAAATTAATCCAGGCAAGTCACTAAACAAAACCTGAGGGGGGAATCACAATCCAGAGTTACTACAATATATTATCTAAAATGTCTAGTTTTCACCACTAACAAAAAAGTCACTAGAAACTGTTGCTGAAAGGGCACAGATGATGGACTTACCAGACAAAGAATTCAAAGTAGCTATTATAGATATGCTCAAAGAACTACAGGAAACCATGTTTAAAGAATCAAAGGAAAATATGACAACAGTGACTCATCAAATACAGATAACAATAAAGAGATAAAAATTATTTTTAAAGGACCATTTTGAAATTTCAAAGTTAAAAAATACAATAACTGAAGTGAAAATTCACTAGAGGAGCTCAACAGCAGATTTTAGATGGCAGAAGAAAGAAGCAGCAACCTTGAAGATAGATCAATAGAAATTGTCCAACCTGAATAACAGAAAGAAAAAAGCATGAAGAAATAATTGGCTCATCCTGAGAGACTTGTGGGACAACATTAAGTGCACCAACATATGCATACTGGGAAGTCCAAGAAGGAAAGGAGAGAGAGACTGAGGCAGAAAAAAATATTGGAAGAAATAGTGGTCAAAAACTTCCCCAAATTGATGAAAAACATTAATATATATGTCCAAGCTCAACGAACTCCAAGTAGAATAAACACTAAGAAATTCATACTGAGACACATCATACTCAAGGTGCTGAAAGATAAAGAGAAAAATCTTAAAGTAGCAAGAGGAAAATAATTCATCATTTATAAGGAAGCCTCAATAGATTAATAACTTATTCTCATTAGAAACAATGGAGGCAGAGAAAGCAGTGCAATGACACATTCAAAGTACTGAAAAAAAAAAAATACTAATCCAGAATCCCATTTCCAGCAAAACTATATTTCAAAAACAAATGTAAAATACAGACATTCCCAGATAAATAAAGAGAGACCTTACCGCTAACAGACCTTTCTTGCCAAGAATACTTAAGAAGTGTTTTAAGCTAAAAGGAAATTACTTCAGACAGTAATTTGAATCCACACAAAGAAATACCAAGCATGGGTAAAGGTAAATATGTAGTTAAATATTAAAGGTAGTATAAATATATATTTTTTTCTTTTTTCTTCTCAGCTTATTTAAAAGACAGTTGCATAAAATAATAATTATAAAATGGTATTGTTAGGAATATAACATATAAAGAAATAATATATATAACAATAATAGCACAAAGCAGAGGGGATGTAATAGAGCCACTTAGAGCAAAGTTACTATATTTTGCTGGAATTAAATTAGTATTATATGAAATAAATGGTTTAAATTTAAGACGCATAATATAATTCCCCAGAAGAAACACTAAGGAAATCATTCTGAAGAATATATTAAAAAGAAAACACCAAAGGAATTAAAATGGTACACTAGAAAACATTTAACACCAGAAAAGGCAGTAAAAGAGTAACAAAGGAAAAAAAGACATGAGACATATAGAAAATAAATAGAAAAATAACAGACATAATACCAACATACCAATAATTACATAAGCAAAATGATTGTGCTCACTTCAGCAGCTTTTGTTATTGTTGTTAGTTGTGGTTGAATCTATTCGGACTCATGGTGACCCCATGTATGCAGAGTAGAACTGCTCCATAGGGATTTCAAGGCTGTGACCTTTCAGAAGCAGAGCACCAGGACTGTCTTCCAAGGCACCTCTGGGTGGGTTCAAACCACCAACTTTTTTTTTCTTATTTATGGTTCTATAATTATCACCTTTTTTTTATTGTACTTTAGGTGAAGATTTACAGAACAAATAGTTTCTCATTAAACAATCAGTACACATATTGTTTTATGACATTGGTTAACAACCCCACAACATGTCAACCCTCTCTCTTCTTGACCATTTTTTTTTTGTGAAAATATACATAGCCAAAGATACATCATTTCAAAAATTTCTACATGCACAGTTCAGTGACATCGATTATGTTCTTACAGTTGTGCTGCTATTCTCACTTTAAATGAAGGTTTACAGAACAAAATAGTTCCTCATTAAACAGTTAGTACACATGTTGCCCTATGACAATGGTTAAGAACCCCACTACATGTCAACACTGTCCTTAGTCAACTCTGGGTTCCCTATCACCAGCTTTCCTGTCCCCTTCTGCCTTCTAGTCCTTGTCCCTGGACTGCTGCGCCTCATTAGTCCCATTTTGTTTTATGGGGCTGTCCAATCCCCGACTGAACGGTAAACCTCGGAAGTGACTTCACCACTGAGCTAAAAGGGTGTCTGGGGGCCATACTCTCAGGGTTTCT